CCTCTAAATTTTTCAAAATTAAAAAACAACAATGGAGAAAAAAAGAAAAAATTCTACCTGAGGTAGTATATACCCACGATCTGTGAAAGTCCCCCTCTTGACCTCCTCTATTTCAAATTCCTGGATCCGCCACTGCAAGTCACATATCAAAATGATGTGTACTGTATAATAAATTGGTTGGAAAATATTAGGAGACGAGTGAACTCGTCGCTGGCAATGGGACAGTACTGTACTTTCTATTGTCTCTGCCAAATGCGAGTTTTCTCATCTGCTTTTTGCATGGGTCAGTATATGTTTAGAGGGCGCACCCTACTGATGCAATCTTTTATACTGCCGGCACCATAACACAACAAACGTACATACATTATTTGTATGTTATCGTCTAGGTGTATCGTCACCGAACTATCGGCCGTTAAGTCTGTAGTTCTACAGTGTATGTGAGGTAATAAACGCTGGAATGTTACCCCGGTTTTGGCTAATATATTCATCCCTAGCACCCTCAGCAACATCCTGTATGATGAGTATACTTGTCGCTGGCAGCGACATTGTTAAAACGATATGCTCCGTGATGAAATAAAATTGACTATTAAATTTTATTTGACAAAAGCATGTGACATACTTTAGATATGGTCAAGATGACATCACATCATGACTATATATAGGCATATCATGACTATATATGGGCATACACCAGTTTTGTTTGTTTTGTTTTTTTTGTCAAAGAAAATTTTATAGTCTGGACATAGTATTTAATTTACCATTCAATTGGAAATTGGTTAAATGAATGTCTGAACGAAGCTTAAATTCGCTGGTAAGCAATTAAGGATTTTTGGTAATAAAACATCTGAATTATCATGGAAAACTATTTAGATTGTATTTCCTTGATAATTATTTACTTTAAATTTAGAGAAATTATGTAATTTGAGTTTTTTTTTTTTTCATATTTCATCATAAACTGTGTACAGGTATATATCTGAAGTGATAATATGGATTTTTTTTTTCCTGATTATGCATAAACTTGAAGTAAATTTTAATATTGAATTTTTTTATCTTTTTTTTGGTTAAAAAATCAATGCTTTATTCAATAATTTTTGCTTTTCTTTTCTCTTGTAGGGGTAATGGACGGAATTGGGGATGGGCATCCGGAGGCAGCTCCATTCTCGCTGAGTATGGCTCCATGCATCTTGAGTTTGCTTACCTTACGGAAATAACCGGCGATCCTAAATATTTACAGAAGGTAGAGTAAAATTAACATTATAGCTAACAACTCCCCGCTTAGTGTTAGGCCAACTTTGACAGCATTGTACGTCATGACCCAACCAGATTTATCATAGTGTCGGGTCTGTGTGAGTAAATATCAGATGCAGTGGTTCATTGTAAAACTCTGTTGGGAACAGTTTTTGGTTGTCGGAAAACTATTGAACACATGCACTATGAGGGAACGAGCAGCAACGATAAATCACACTGGTATACATTGTACAATGCCAGGGGCGGATCCAGAGATGTCCAAAAGGGGGTGCCAAAAATTGGATCGATCAAGATGATACCACCCTAGGGGGTCCGGGGGAATTCCCCCGCAAAATTTTTGTGTTCTAGACGCCCGAAAATAACCACTGAGGTGTTTTGGGCGATCAGTTTTTTCTTTTTCTATTTCTGTTTTTTTTTAAATTTATTTTACCTTCCAAATTTGACTGTCTCTTATACACTTCTAGATGTGTATAAGAGACAGCCCCTGAATGGTGTGCGAGTTGGTCTTTAAAGTAGGATAACACCAGAAGCACACCCACGATTATAATGTAGGCCACACCACCATCAACACCATCATCATGACACTCCAATTAAAAATGTCTTCCCTTGGCATTTGCTAAACCATTCAGTGTTTTAGTACTGTAGTTCTGTACAGTAGGCCTAGGAATTCACAGTGAACATGCTTTGATAGTTTGGTTTGTATGTTATAGCATATCAACCAACTATTTAGGGTATATATTCACTTTTTCACTTTCACAAGGATATCAAATCAAGAATAGATTGTATTGTTAAATGTTGTTTGTTTGATGTATTCTCTCTAGTAATCTAAATTGCCCATTGTTCATGCATCCATTGTTGTTAATATTAATCAATATTTATTTGATGTGTAGGTACAAAAGGTTAGAGAAGTGTTAAATAATATGAATAAACCGGACGGACTCTACCCGAACTACATCAATCCAAAAACAGGAAGATGGGGACAAAGTAAGTTTAATACTCAATCAATCAATCAATCAATCAATGGCAATATGAATAAACCTAATAGATTGTACCCAAACTACATCAACCCAAAAACAAAGGAAGATGGGGGTCATAGTAAGGTTAAATTCTCAGGTAATCAGTCAGTCAATCAATCGATCAGTCAGTCAGTCAGTCAACCAAACAATCAATCAATCAATCAATCAATCAGTCAATCAGTCAATGAATTAATCAATGATAATCAATAAACCCAATAGATTGTACCTAAGCTACATCAACCCACAAATGGGAAGATAAGAGCCGAAGTAAGTTTAAATTCTCAGCCAATCAATCATTCACCCAGGCTGTCATTTAGTTAATCACTCAAATCCTCAATCAATCAATCAATGTCTTTATTGATCAATCCATCAATAAATCAGTCATCTTTGACAGCATGTCTTTATAATCTGGAAATATAAATTTATGAGCTGAATTTTGCCTAAACGATGGCTTAAAAATGTCAAGTAGTGAAAGTATATTTAGCACAGGGTAATTTATTTCTTTACATTAAGATAAAGCCAGATGAGATACTATATGTGGTATCTCACTGCCCTTGAAATGTTCTCATTAGCGTGGTAGTGAATCCTTATATCAGTGCTTCACTGAGCCTGACCATCCACATCATTATCTTAATGTAGTTCTATTGTACATTTTCATCTTATCATAATTTTTCATAGTCGTCTTCAAACTTTCACCCCCAAAATTATTATCAGCTCTATCCGACATCATCTTTACATTATGTTGTTCACCATTATCATTAGTTATGTGCACTGAACAACCCAGTATTTCACTTGAGATTGAGGTATCTCGTTTTACTGGTCCAGACAGACCCTTTGGTTAACAACAGATGAGAGCTGCTTGGTACCCGGTTTACCAGAGTAGCACAAACAAAGTGACACTTTTAGGAGTGAATAACAATCTACTTGTCATATCATTGTGAGAATCAGGATTGACGGTTACTGGCACTTACAAATATCCACTATATTAGGCAAAAAAAATAATGTTGTATTGCCTTTTTTGCTCAATATTTGGAGGATCAGTAGGCCATTTTAGGTTCAGCTGGCCTAGCTAGTTATCAGACTACTTGACCCAATATAACTCATTTATATTTCCATTTTAGAACAAAGTTGACAGAGACACTTATTTAGATTAAATTCAAAATATAAAACCTTTTATTTAGGTTTTCAGATTAAAAAATTCTTTTTTTTAAATATTAAAAAAAAACAAAACTGCTATTTTTTATTTTTAGGGTCGGTTGGTATAAGGGGGAAATACAATTTTTTTCACTATTTTTGGTCAACCAGGCTCCAGCAATACTGACTTTTTTGGCCTCATTAAAATCCTCTTATCATCATCATTGTCATCATTATCATCATATATTAATTATATACTTAGTGTATCCCTATTACTACTATCCATTTTAATTTTACTATCATAAAGTTTTTCCTTCGAATGAATTATTTGACCATGTCTGGTCTTTTTTTTTTTTTTAGATCATGTTTCCATTGGTGCTTTGGGTGATAGCTTTTATGAGTATTTGTTAAAATCCTACATCATGTCCGGACAGAAGGATGAAGTTGCCAAGAAAATGTACTACGATGCTGTTGACGTAAGTATTAGCACTCAACCAGGGCCATAGGCCGGTTTTGGCAAATCGCTTTACTTTTACAGTGTTCACATTGTTTCTTTCACATTGTTTGTTATTTGATCCACCAAGGAGATTGTGTATTCACCCATTTGTCAGTCTGTATGCAAGATTTTTTTTTTTACCTTGTTGTTTTTATTCTTCCAAAGGCAATTCAAAGACGATTGGTACAGAAAACACCAGGTGGTCTTACGTACATCGGGGACTTGCGTTCTAGCAGAGTAGAGAAGAAGATGGATCATCTTGGCTGTTTCTCTGGTGGGATGCTGGCTCTGGGATCAAAATATGCCCCGCCGGATTTAAAAGAAAAACAGTTAGAGTTGGGGGCAGAAATAACAAGGACATGTCATACAGCATATGATAAAACAGGTATGTCCTGTGATAAAGATTTTGTATAGAGTAATATTATACTGTATTTTTTTTTTTTTTAACTTATGTTTTTGCCGTAGGTTTGGCTTTTCCAAGCATCGTCTAACCAATACCAGTCTCCCTCCAGTTAAAGAACACTCTTGGGACCAGTTTTTTCATAGTTTTTAGCAGTTTTTGTGTCCAATTAGAATAATTATGCTAATAAAAATAAAAGTTGGATTCATTTAGGTTTCCAGAAATGTCTTTATTTGGAGGTGGTCTTTAATCTGAGGGATCCTTAATTAGAGAGGAGATTCCAACACACACAACACATACAAACATAATGGTAATACCAAATAAATGGTTATCACTAGGTGATTGCATATATCAATCGTCCTTATCAGAAGTACTTAACACTGATTGTATTACTACACCATGTCATCACAGGTAACCATAAACAACATGAAAAAGCTGTAGTGAAGCCTTGCAGTTTAATTGAAGAATTAATGTACTTTCATTGACGAGTGCCCAAGGAATATTATGCTTCCAAGATTACCGATACAAATCAATGTGCTGACATTGATGTATTTTTCTGGCTTTTACTTTGACAAGAAGTCTATAATGTTCTCCTTATCTTTGCAGCAACTAAACTTGGGCCGGAAGCTTTTCGCTTTGAGGGCAAGTCAGAAGCGGTAGCGATGCGACAAAATGAAAAGTACTACATCTTGCGACCTGAGGTCATCGAGTCCTATTTTGTTCTGTGGAGAGCAACAAAAGATAACAAATACCGAGAGTGGGGCTGGGAAGCAGTTGAAGTAAGATATTTGGCTTTATGTTTTTAAGTACAGGTCTCACTCCAAATAAAGACCACTTTTGGAACCAGGGCCATGGGCTTTAGCAGCTTTGGTCTCTAATTAGAATAATAACGATAAACTCATTTGTTAATATCAAACCACAGAAAGGTTGTCTTTTTGGAGGTGGTAATTATTAGGAGAAGACATCTTTAATTGAACGGAGACCTTGTAATTATTTATATTTAATTTGACTATTATACATGGGTGTGTAAACCAACCCTGTGTCTTATTAATTATAAGTTGGGAGCGTGTGGTGCAGAATGCAAGGTGTTGGACTTCCGTGACTGACGCTCATCGCATTGCTTATGTCCTTGGGCAAGGAACTTTACCCTTTGTTTGCCTCTCTCCACCCAGTAGCATAAATGGGTACCTGGTAGGATGATGTGGCATTGCAAGTATTAGTCTGTGTCGGCTGTAAATTGCACACACGACTAGGAATACTCCCTGGGAGTGGAGGAGGTTGCACTTTGTGCTGGTGTGATTATAGATCTGACGACATCACCAGCGACTTGTATCCATTCTCAAATGGAGCAGTACAAATCCCTATATTATTATTATTATTATTATTATTATTATTGTTATTGTTATTGTTATTATTATTATTATTATTATCATCATCATTAGTATTATTTTTATTATTATTGTTATTATTATTATTATTAAGATACATCTTCCTCCAAGATTCTGTGTTCAAATCCTGTGAGAAGGATTTTTTTTTTCTTTTTTGAAACCAACTGCACTTCCAAAGCCTCTAAGGAAGAAAATGAACTAAATATAAACTTGTCAAGAAGGACAAAACATCACTCCTACTGTATGATATTTGCCTGATGCAATCACACATCAAAAAAGCTTTGTAGTACCCTCTGCTACATGGGCATCTGATTCAACACTAGTCACTAAGTGCAAGCTCAGTGGTCTAGTGGTTATCCCACCAGGCTAGTTATCTGGAGGTTGTAGGTTCCCAAATCACTTGCAAATTTTGTTTGTACGACGTTCGGTCGAAATAAATAAATAAATTTAAAAAAAATAATTTTATCTGGATATATATTTCTTTATACCATCATAACAAAATTTATTTCACAATTATTATTACTGCTAAAGTCAAGCTGGTTTTTTTTTTTTATTTCAGTCTGTTATTTAGTTTTATAGAGTATTTTGATGGTTGTAATTTATGTTATGTGAATTTCCCTGATAACCAGATGGAAACTTTCACAAACTACAAATTGCATAACAATTGTATCCCTGGTGTGTTTGTTTCATATCTACATTAATGAGAATTTAATGTGCTTGGCATTTTCGATAAGTTAGTAATTCTGTTGAGGCTTTTAATGATATATTGTTTGTGATGTTATCAGATTATTATCAGAGTATTTACACAGCTATCAATAGTTATCATTTCCTCTGACATATAGACTGTGTGACTCTTAAACCTCATTATTGATGGTATTTGAAATATTAACACCAAGTGTTAAACTCATTTGGGTAATGCATTTTGATATTGACTATTTGATGAAAATGAAAGTTAAGCTAATGCCATAATATGATAACTTAATACCATGTTGTTAGACTTGCCACAAGTCTCTTATTTTTTTAAATTAATTTTCTCATTCTGGACAGCGCCACCAACGAGAAAGTTAATTTAGAGATAGACGGAATAAGCGACTTGTAAAACACTGAAGTCAGGCACCAGGATGCCAAAAGAATGACGTAATCTTATATTCCGTATTTGGATAAATGGGCGGACCGAAATAAACAATTTCAACCAATCAAATGTTCATATTTTTGGAGCCACGAAACTGAGTCACTCGCCGCTCGCGTCGACTAGTTAGGCATGACTAAATTTAAATAGTCCTCCCTAATAAAACGGGCCTAAAATATTTAGAATAGACCCTAGTAAGACTAATTTTGGCAATGGCAAAAACAATTAAGACTAGACGGCATACCATACAAATAGAACAAAACTTTAACTTTCCAGGAGGATGGCTCAGGCCTCGTCTGAGTAGTAGGCCTAGCCTAGACTCTAGTAGAGGCTTGGCGTATTTTTAAGTTCTAACTTACAGAGGCCTACCTTTTTAACAATATTCTACTCTATCTGTAGCAGCTAGCGGTGAGCAAGGTTCCTAGTATAGCCTACGGTTATCAGTCCATGTCGTTCTCAGCAGGCCAGAACTATATACTAACTGTTTTTATTCAAGTATAGGTAGCCAAAAGGGAGCTGGTTAGCTTGTTCTAGTCGAGACTCGAGACATCCGCATCTTCAATTTTGAAAATTTACCAAGATTGATTAATACTGTATGCATGAAGTTAGCCAATCACGTGATTTACAAAATCAGTCATGCATACGATATCCCACATCAAATTTGATGTGGGAAATTGCACGCATGAATCGTTTGCCCAGGCCCTAATTCGAAAAAAAAGAAATCGAGTATGGGACGCCAATTAAATTAGGTATGGCGCGCACTAAGTGCAATAAAGAGTGAGTAACCTAAAATTAGGGCCTGGAACCCAGGCTACCATGTTGTATGCGTTATAGTAAAACAACTTTGAATACATCACAATATTCAAATTAAAAGGAAAGTTGCATCCATGCATTTTAATATTTATTTTTTAAAAAATGTTAACTCCTCTGTGATTGGCTAAAAATTAGTCCCTCTTTTATAATTTGCCTGCTTTCAATGTAACTATTAAAAATTAAAAGCCCAATGTAGTTATGTCATACATTGCATACCACAATTAATCCTCTATGGATAATAAAAATATTAACATCCATATTGTCTCATCCTATGATTGGTTGAAATCATATAACTCATTAATGGGCCTGCTGATATTGTCTATTAAAAATTAATGATCCATGGCATAATTTTATTGCGCCCACACTCATTCATAATACATATAAACATTCTTATCTTTCTGTCTTACGATTGGATGATTCAAGGTCTCTTAGAATCATCTGTTTACGATAATTTATGAAATTGTCAATTCACAGGAAATTTACTTTATGTTTATAATATGTTTCTCTTCAATTTTTGATAAGACACCAAAAAAATCCATTCTTTAAAGTATACCTGCAGCACTTTTTGAGAATTAAATATTATATTTTTATTTTCGCAGGCTCTGAATAAGCATTGCAAAGTACAAGATGGCTTCTCCGGAATAAGAGACGTATACGCTTCAAAAGTTAGCCACGATGATGTGCAACAGAGCTTTTTTCTTGCGGAAACGCTTAAATATCTTTATCTTTTATTCAGCGATAATGATTTTATGTCATTAGATAAGTGGGTTCTAAATACAGAAGCACATCCGCTACCAGTTCAAAGTTCATCCAGATGATACCCCGCGAGAATGAATTAGAATTGTTGAATTTTTTAGGATTTTTATTTTTTGCAAAAGTGGTTATTGATTGTTGCTGAAAATATTATTGGTGATTGAGTAAATGTCAATAAGATGCACTGAACATCTACTAAGGTTACTCAAGGTTATTCAAAATATGTATTCTGTACAATGGAGTTTGGTCGTCACAAATTGTACATTCGTTTTATCACCAAGAAACCATGAAAGAATTTCTTGTGAAATTCATATCCATATTTTTTATGCAAATAATTGCAAGAATGTGGAATTGATTCTTAAAAGATGTAATATTTATGACAAATATGAAATTAATAGACATGTTTCTGTATAAAGTAATCAGAGAGGTAGATTTGCTGTTAATTGTATAGTTGTTATATATGTGGATTTGAACTTTGAACTAATGTATTTCAGTGTGCGGGAACAAAATTAATGCCAGGACTAAAGAAATATGAGCAAGTTGTTTTTCTTTAAAAAAATAAAATAACCAGGAGTGATGCCGGAATATTGGTCGAAAACCTGATGCCAGAGATGAACAGGGAAACATTCATTTTTTCTGAATTACTCATTTACTAAGCCAGAGATGTACTTTACTGAGTCAGAGATGTACAGGGAAATTATAAATTTGTTTTCTTGAAGAATCCGAGTACTGATGCCAGAAATGTTCAGGAGAATGTAACCGTTTTCTTGAAGAACCATGTTTTCCTATTTCAGAGTTGCTCAGAAAATCTGTTGTTTTTCAGATGAACCTGTCAGTCAAAATCACAGGAAAAGGATATTGTTTTTAAGCAGCCAGTGACCTAGCTTCATAGTTTTTGCTTCAGTCTGACATTAAGGATATGACAAGTAGTTGATGGTTTTCCGTGAATGAAAGCAGAATGACAACAATCAGTAGACCAATGGAATCATAGAATGATAATCATGTGATTGACCATGAGGGCCTAATCCAATTAAAGCTTCAGTAACTCCAGATTATTTATTCATGCTGTAGAACCCGTCCTTTGAAACACCCCCTATCAAGGGGACACTTTTTCAGGAAGTGAACAGGGGAAGGTATATCTTTTAAAACTATTGCCAACCCCTATTCAGGGTCCTAAACGTGTCCCCTTAATAGGGGTTCTAATGTACTCATTGTTCTGCAGCCCAGAATAATTATATATGCTCCTCTATTTATTTTTACATAATTATTATTACTAGCAGTAGTGCAAAACTTTGCACAGGTCTTTGTTTCTCAATGAAAATATGCAATGCATCTAAAACCTTACTTTGGAGGATAATATAAACTATTTTTTGGTAAAGCATAATTATAATTATTTGAGAGCGTCCCTTATTTGAAAGTCATTTATTGTTGAGGGGGATTATATTTGAGGGAGGTGTTTATTTTTGGTGTAAAATGGTTGTGTATATAAGTGTCATTTATCTTTACTGTGAATGTGCAACAACAACACATAATTACAGTCAAAATATGTTATTGCATGATCATAAAAATTGATCCCAACCAATTTAGAAAAAATGGAGAAGAATATTAATAGAATATGTTGAGAATGATGTTGCTTTCGTCAGTTTTGTTTACAGTCATTTAGGGGGTGTTTATGCAAAGGAAAAGTAAAGCCCTGAGGCGTTTATTCCATATGTGGCTCTGGTGAAGGCGTTTATTCAAAGCATGAGAATAGATATGGTACTACTTTTGTATCCTACAGTATCCCATTCCAAGACTTGCATCCTTTAACAACATAACCTTTTCATAAATGTTTAAATCACAGGTGGGCAAAGTGCAGCCCATGGGCCGCACGCGGCCTGTCAGCGATTTTTCTGCGGCCCGTGACAATGAATTAAAAGCCCTATGTTTGCGGCCCACCAATCAAATTTGGCTAGAAAACACCTTGTTTTTTACGGCCCAACACCAATCATATGTAAAAAGTAACATTAAAACTGAAAATAAAGTGATGTAAAAGCAGTGCTTGGAGGTTTTTGGAAGCTCACTGGAACATCAAGGTTTGTGTGCGGCCCTCGGTGTTAAATAAAAAATTCACTTTCGCCCTCCGTTCGATTTTTATGCCCACCCATGGTTTAAATATTATGAAGATTAGATCTCAATACGTCCAACTAACAAATTATTACAATAAATAATTGATTTCTTCTTATAAATGATTAATTCCATGTACTAATGCATTTACAGAAAAGATATTCATAGATAGTAACAGCCTTGCAAATATAGGTACCACTGTGTTTTATTGCGGTTAAACTTTTGTAATTGTAGTAAACCGTGTTTTTATGGTGATACTTTCAAATTCGATCCTTTGTACTTAAATGTTTCTAAAATCATGTGGGTGTGTGTGCGTGTTTTTAAATTAAGGGAACAGAAAGTGTGACCACACACTGGGTAGGACTAAAAAGTGTGTATGAGTAAATTGTAGGTGTGACCACTGCTGCATAGTGGGTGTAAACCACACATTGGGTGTGACACATAAAATGGATGGTCACACTTTGATGTAATCTATTTTTTAAAGATTGAGAATTTTGGTAGTCAATGAAAGCATCATAATATGTATTTTATATCCCCCATGGTGATTGATCTCCACATTCTAATGTGTATGCCTTGTATTCTTTGTCACCATTCTGTAATACATTTTTGTTTTTCTATCCAAAATAGATACATCCACTCTATGGTATACCATGGAGGAAATAAAACACTGTGTTCTTTTTCCCCTCTGGGTATACATACTAACATTTTGGAACCTCAGTGTTTGTAATCTGTAAGATCATGTTCTTTTTACAGTAAGTTTATTAATCATAATAACAATCTCATTTAAAGTAAAAAAAAAATGATTAAGAACTTAATATTTAACAAATTAATATAACAACTTTAATATATTTGATCAACAATTTTCCCTTTTGGATACATTTGTTTATTATTTATCCTGTTTGCATTGTTGAATAAATTCAATTTTAAAATCCCATTTAGAAAAGAAAGCATATTTTAACTATAAACAGTAGTTTTAACACTATTTGAATATTTTTAGATGTTACTGTTGTTTTCTCTATATTATCATTGTGAAGGCCTATGCCCATTGTTCAAACTTTTGTTGTAATGTGTATTAATTGCATGGGACAAGTTGTTGGACCCATAGCAACAATTGTCTGGCTTATGAGACAAATTGAATGTCCCATTAGAATTTTCTTGTTGGAATAAATTGTCCAGCATAATGAATAAAGTAACCAAATGGTATAAATATCTGTGGGTTTGGATTGTCAAAAATTGGTACCAGTTTATCCGACTGTTGGGGCAAAGTGTCCAATTTGCTTAGAACTTTTCTAACTAAAACAAAAGCATTGTTTAAATGCATATCCTGGTTTATATGAAATGCTTAATAATTTATTAGATAAAATAAAGCTTATTAATTGTAAGTGAAGACCAACAATGTATTTTGTCTGCATGTACCTCTCGAAGTAATGTCTGAAAAAAATTATATGCATTTAGTTGGTTAGGTTAGATATGATAATGAATGATGCAATAACTCATGTTTAAAAAACTCTGTACATAGTCATTTTCTGGACTTGATTTAGTAATTTGTCTGTTAATACTTTTTTTTTGTTTTTTTTTTGTTTCTTTTTTTTTTTTTTTTTTTTTTGCTCTTTTGAGCTTGGAAGTCTGTGTACTAAGCATAGCTGGTTTCCATAAAATTGCTACAAGCCATCATCGACAACATCCTCGCTGATTTGTCTGGTCAAAACAGAGTTGGAATCCCCAATTTCTTCAGGGACAGCCACGCAGATTAACAATGCAGTGAAAAAATGTAGCATCAGTGTAGTAATTTTATGGAAACCGACTTAATACAAGTCAAATTTTTTATTATTATTATTATTGTTGTTACATGTTATTAATGTTGTTTTTTTTATTTTTTTTTTTATTTTAATGTCTTCAATATTCGTTCTGTCTTCCTAGTGATGTTTCAAAAGTTTTGACCGATCAGAGATGTTATCATCACAGGGAACATTTAAATTTACTGTCAATTTAACTTTCCCTGATCATCATTATTATTAGGTCATTTTATTGTATTGATTATATTTATTATTTAATGAATTTATCTTTGTTTTTAAATTTCCAATAATCATTGACCAATTGTGATAGTAAAAACAAAACAGTACAATAGTAAAAACCGTAGTAGTTTGTCCTTTATTATTTATGGATATATTTGTTTATTTTGTATTATAAAAATAAAAAAAAATTATTCTATGTTTAAGCATTATTTATAAAGACATTAAGAGGAATTATTGAATTTAATGTTAAAATTCTTGCTGAATAATGCATACTATTTTGCTAATGTTATGTTTTAGCTTTAAATCAATATAATGCTAATTCTAAACTTTAAAATTTTGCTGTTAAATATTTTTATTCTAAATACAGTGGTGTATCTGAGAATAGACCTTTACAGCATGTCAACGAAAATAGTAAAAAATCCAAACATGTTGTTCAATTAGCATTCCCTGGAATATGCGAACATCCCATAAACACTCAAGAGTTTACATTTACGGCATCCCACTCTCAGTCTTGTTTTTCTACAAATAAAAGTAGCTGTCCTTTTGTGGACTCATTGTACAGATCCAACTCGCTAGATGTTGCAACGCTGTCTGGTGATTGTCGGGGGCAGTGTGAATGGACCGTCATTAAAAACAATCCATTGCGAGCGCGTTGTCGCGTTCTTCATAAAATCGACGGCCGACGGCCGCAGCAAGAGTCTGGGCTTTAGAAGCAATATCCAAAGGGAGGTGCGTATTTTAACGGTCCATTCTGTTTCACATGTCAACTTTTGACTTTTGTATATTCCTATGCAGTTTATTTTCCTATTTATCACTTCCAAATTGTAAAACATTTTGCATAATCAACTGCGCTATTGCTGCTGTATGATCAAAGAATATTCAACTTGCATTGCAAGGAAAATTTGCTCAAAATGTTTTACAAGACATCTTTTATCCTGAGTATCGCATAGGACGGTATCGCACCATTCCACATCCCTTTCTCTGTGTGACTTTCCAACAACTAATTGGATTTATTCTACAGAAAAAAAAATAGAAAGTTTTTATGCAAATGTAGGATTTTAACTGTAATTCAGCCAGAATGTTGTATACTTATTTCAAAATCATCTTCCTTATCGATATTTGAATATTTTATTATTTTCATTCATATTTGAATCACATTTCTTTCCTATTGTACTGTACTTTTTAATATTTCCATAATTTTTCTTGTTTTATCACAATTATTACATTTAAGAATTTCTAAAATTGTCACCTATTATCTGCATTTATAAATATTTCAGTATTTTATTGTTATTGTGTGTTATTTTTGTCACAATTCTCATCTATGTTCTGGTTATTATATCAATAAATATAATTATTATTAAAATAGTTTTTTTTTTTATTATTCATTATACTGTATTTATAATATCTGGAGTCTTAGTTTATTCCCTTATTGAAATGATTTCAACACCAGAAAATTTTGGCCGCTGTGTTTTAGGGGGAGGGGGGAAAGGCACCGCCTCCCCTTTTTGCACCCCTGGATTTGCCACCAATGCTGTAGCCAGGATTTTCAAACAGTGCAGGACAATATTGGGGTGGACCCACTTTACGTGTGAATTCAAACAATGTGGACCCATTTTACGCAAAAATATGAAAAATCTGGACCCATTTACTTAAATTTTACCCATCTTAGGCTATATGAGAAATCTGGACCCATTGCTCAAAAAGTGGACCAATTTTATGCATAAAATTGCATAATTTGGACCCATTTTTAAAAATGTGGATCCATTCTTTTGTGGACCCACATAGGAAAATTGGTGGGAATGTCCCAATAGCTGGCTATGTCATTGTCTGCCATTGACTGTTCTTTAAAGAAGTAAATTAAATATTTGAAATTGATTTTCTTTAGCATTCAAGTACAAATTAAAACCATAAAATGTTTTCCTGCCCAAATAACAAATTCATGCAATATTGTACTGGCATAGACGACTCCAGTTTCACCGTCGGAATTCATACTTTTTGCTGATATTTATGGCCTTGAAACTGCATCTAGCTTTCTAAAAGCGGAGGCAATGCAGGGCTAATCTTCCAAATTGTACGATTTTATGAGATTTTAAATATTTATCAAAACATTTCCTACTATAACTTTTAAGTAACTTCATTGCAGTAGTATGAATGTGTGAATACGGACGATCCGCACGAAAGACGAACGTGATTTTAAAAATATAAAATTTGTACGTCGCGCGTATAGGACGACCCACCTGTTTTTCAATTGTAATTTGTTAGTTTAAACCGCGTCTTATACGCGAGTATATACACGGTACATTTTCCAATTAGTGGAGGTACTAAATTAATGATGATACTAGAAATGGTGTAAAGCATAAAGAAGTAAATGAAGAATTATGTTATCTTCAAAAGTATCAAGCAGGGAAAAGACTGTCTCTTATACACATCTAGATGTGTATAAGAGACAGATCTATTAATGCCATAATGAATTTTAAAAGCCATGTGATCACATTCTTGCAATAATAAAGATATTTATTTCAAAACTACATTTACATCAGTGGCACATGGTGACTAATTAAACTCTATACAGCCATACAGTATAAAGAAAACAAATGCTTTTAGGTCAAGTAAACCGTTTCATGTCCAAATATTTTGAAAAAAAAAGGAGAATAAGGGCACTTTTTCCCTTTTTTTAAAACTTCGAGATGGCAAAGTTGGGGGGGGGGGCGCCCTAAATTCGCCCCTGTCAGAGCCATAGATAGAAAGAGTTGCGACATTGAGAATAGAAGCCATTTTGTGTCATGCGCGTTCTGTGTCTAACGTGATGTGCGTTCCTGTGTATAATATTGTATAATAAAGTTAGCGGCCTCCTGTATAGTTTAATTCCATTTAATCTTTTTAGCAGTCGAATTTCATGTAACTCTATTTATAGATTTTTAAAAATGATTTCACTACTTTATATCCAATTTCATATTATAACCAAGGAGCGGAATGTTGCAACTCTTTATATATATGGCTCTGTCCCCTGTAAGGGTCTGCTCGTCTTTCGAGTCTCCCCGACTCTCCAATCTCCTGTGGTCAATATGATATGAAGTAAATAATTTTTAAATATACACAAAAGTTTTTGTCTCTTCACAAGAAACGGTTACGTCATGCGTCTCAAGACCAAGGAGTACGACCCCTTAATTGCCAATCACCAACACTATTCCACAAGTGCGCTTGTTGAGTGTTACCCATGATCAATATATTTGCGACATCGTGTACGTATTTCAGCAGGGCCGGCGACCACCACATACACTGTATCAAAATACCGTATTGTTATACAGGCCGGTTCGTGTAACCCCCTTAACTCCCAACGCTACGGGCTAGTTATATTAATAATTTAATTCGAGTTCTCTGTTAATTCTTGTTGCCCTTTACTTCATTATTTTCTCCTGAGTATTTCAGATATTGTTTTAATAAAGCTCGGCTGTGGAATGGGAAGAGGGGAAAATTCTGGCCTAAGGCCCTATAATTATAAAGAAGTTTGTTGAGATTGTATGCGTGTTTGGGTTTTCAGCTTGTAACAATTAATACTAGGCCTATATTTGTTGATTATCATCATGCCAAACAAGTATCATTTGACAATTGCATGCCTTTCTGAACATAAATAATCAATAATAAACAATTTTCTTCCTTTTTGATCCAATACGTGTCACTATATATCTCGATGAGGCCTACTGCCCCGTATTTTACGATTTGTTTTTCTTATTGGCTTTCTGTATATTCACATTTGATTTTTCAGTTCCCTGGATTTTTTAATTATTTTCATTCGTTGTTTTTTTCAGTAGTCCCTTACTATTTTTATCTTGTAATTGTGGTTTAAAATAAATAAATAAAAATTAAATGTTTTTGGAATGGAAATGAATGTTGCACGAAAACGGAAGGCTTCCATTCTAAACAGCGCCCTCAATAACATCTCTCGTTGGAAAAATAATGACGCGCGGTGAGAAAATAATTAATATCGTAAAATTTAAATTGTCGATTAACAATAACATCTAAATCTATTGAAGTCGTTATTTTTACTGAATATTTCGTATTTACGAACGTCTAATTGGATCAATTTACAATGTTATAACAGATAATTGTAAGTGACTATACTGTATACTGGTCTTCGTCTAGGCTAGGCTAGGCCTGTGTTGATCTCTGATGGTAGGATTTTGATGAACTATGTGGATAGCTCTCTCCTCTTCGCGTAAGAAGATTAAGATTGTGCATAGCCTAGACTAGGCCTAGCGATGACCCGGCCTAGCCTAGTAGAGGCGTACTGTAGGCAAATGACGCCGGTCTACCCCTCAAGTGGTAGTGAATAAACAAAACAAGGCGTGCCAGTATTCCAGAAAACTAGCCTAGTCAAATAGAAAAAAATTATTAGGTTATCACTCCCACTAGCCTAGCGTCAACAATGAATTTTGGAAATATTGAAATTAAAATTTATTTTATTTTATTTTTTTTTTGTCGCACCATATATTTTAACTGCATAATAAAAACAACTTGCAATTGTTGATGTTTGTTCTGTTCATGCACACAGGAATTCCCAGGTATAATCCCTTCCCCACCCCCCCCCCAAAAAAAAACCCAAAAAAAACCAAAAAAAAACCTCCCATCCTCATCAATTTTTATAAAAAAGAGAGTGATAATCTAATAATTTTTCTACAGTATGTGGCCTTAGTATGGGAATATACAGTGAAACAAAACTTCTTAGAGTTCACTCTTAACCTCATGTCGCTTTTGTCACATGGCTGATCTCAACTGACCTTTTTTTGGCAACTGGGAGTCGTGCAATATGAGCAATAAGCTGTTGTGCAATTGAAGATTTGAAAAAGTCTGTAAAACCACCAATTGCTTTCAGTTGTTCAATGTTCTTTTTTCACTGTGATTCCAAACAACTGACAATTGATTGAAGTTACTGTAGTTATGGGACAGAGTAGCACAGTACATTAACTGTCTCTCATATATCTTAAGTATATTTCCCGCACGATATACAATAGTAGTCAATATGCCATTATTGCATTACGTTTATTGTAAACATTTTTGGGCACTAATCATCAGAGGTCTCAGTGTCACAGCCTACACTTTTCATAATTCGACGTCGAAT